CTACCTCACACCAGCAGGTGGTTTGGATCTCACGGTCAGTCTCTGCACACTACTGACAAACGTAGTGTAGATACGATGCACTTTGATGTGGTATCAACAGTCTCATGAATTACACGTGTCACATAACTGCACTCTGAAAATAGACGGATAGACATATAATAATAACAACTCACCTTTTTTCCTGATAGGCATGGCGACTCGGTGTAAACCTGACTCTCAGTAAGGCTTCTGTCTTCGGTGCATGATCACAGAGTCTCAAAGTGGCACAAAAACAGAAACGCTTTGGTAAACTTCAACAGAGACAACTCAAACCAGCTGTTTTTTATTTTTATTCCAGGGACAAAGGGGAGCCTTTCAGGAGGTATCCAAGCAAAATAAGGAAAGGACTGATTCCACTGAAGGTCCAGCCATGTGACTGTAGGCGTCTCTGTCCCCTTTACAATTCATCAGAAATCCACAATAAACTCAGAAGAGGTCCCCCTGCAGCAACCTCTCATTCATAGCTATGCGTGCAGTCAGTGGTCCTTGATGTGAGATGCAACAACAGCTGTGATTCTGCAGTTCACAACATTATATGTAGGAAGAGGCTCAGCACTTCTATCTGGGTGCACTTAAGACAAACATCCTTTGGCTGAAGAGTTAGCAGGCCACAGAAGTGCTTTGTCATGCTAGGTCGCTGGTGGTCCACACGACCTGGTACAGACAAAATAACACAGCAGGGCAAACAGGCACCAAACCGAATGTGTACAAAGACGCTGGTTCGGTGTCTGCTGGTCCGGGGGAGCCTCGAGGTCTGGGGGCTGGCCTGGGTTAACATAGTCTGCTCACTCAGCCGCTGTGGCGTGACAGTCCTCCACAGATCCACGGACAGGAGAACTGCTCCACATCCTTCATCCTGAGGTTTCTACAGCCTGCCAGCAAGAACAGGGGAAAGGGTGAAGAACACAAACATGCCAGCTGGAGATGCAGCAGTTCTCTCCTCAGCTAACACCCAGCGGTCACCGGGAGTTTTATGCCCGGAGGTTTTGACTTATGGTGGGATACGTGTCCGTGTCCCCCGCTCCCCCCTCACATTACTGCCATACACAAACGCAAACGTTACTTACCTAGCATTCACGTTATATCGCAGCCAGCGGCGATGCAAAATGAAATGCCGCTTCAACGGTGCGACGACACCTGCCCGCCGACGACGGCGCTGAACGGCTTCCAGGTGGATCCGCGTTCATTTCCTGCAAAACGGTGACCGAAGAAACAGTGCTGTGTTCTCCCTGTGCTACATCCTTTATTTCATCCCACCTGACAGCATCTTACAGTTTTACGTGCCAGAAACAAGCCCACGATACTACGTAAACGAACTTCCGCTTGTACTTTTCAAAATAATGCCTTCTCTAAGCGTACATTTTAACTCGACATGTATACTTATTTCAAACACAACAGTCGCTCTGGCGTAATGACTGTTAGTGACTCAGTCCTCTGTGCAGAAGCGGCCGCTGCGAGTGACATTAAAGTGGCTGAATTAGCAGTCAGTGTAGTAAAACATATTTGAAAGAACACGAACAAAACCACTGAATGTGTATGTGTATATATATGTATATATATATAT